CCAAAGGCTCCTGCCTAGCTTTCCTCCATAGTTCTATGTTCGGCACTTTGTCCTGCCATCTCAGTTAATATGATTATGGTTAAATATATAATTTTATATATGTATATTTCTAGTTATCAACGAGGGGAACATCCGGCTTAGGACTGCGGAGGGGGTGGAGGGGATGGGCTATGTCCAGGTGAGAAACCCTACCACTGGCACCTGGGGGTACGTCTGTGATGACGAGTGGAGCGAGCTGGACGCTACGGTGGTGTGTCGGGAGCTGAACTATGCGTAAGTTAGACGGACGTAAGTTAGACAGACGTAAGTTAGACAGACGTAAGTTTGACAGACGTAAGTTAGACCGACGTACCAATCTTTAACTCTGCTGTTGTACACAAGCTAACTCTATTTTCCTAACAATTTTTTTTCGTTGCAGATCCGATGAAATTCGCCCAAGACCCGCTGTTCTGGAAATATTCACAACAACTATCACAATTAACGAACCCATAGTTTTAGATGACGTCAGGTGTCAAGGAACCGAGGCGTCCATCTCAGACTGCCCACACTCCAGGTGGGGGTCAAACAACTGCAAGGGTGTGAGTCCAGCGGGGGACTTCGCCCAGTTCACAGAATTCGCCGGTGTCCAGTGCCTGAATCAACAGGAGCAGTCGCCATTTCAAAACCGTACGTACTTTGTTGGGGGTGTTTATAACTGATGTAGTGGTGGAACTACCGTGACGTTAAATAGCCGCAATGCGCGTGGGGGGGGGGGGGAGATAGTTTAACTATTCACAAATTGAGCCATTAGCAAGTTCACATAGTGGCGAAATTATAACGTGCCCGAGCCACCAAGGTGTTGCGGCGGGGAGAGAAAAGATGCCGAACCAATTAGTTACGCACGCGATTTAATTAAGGCTATTTTTAATGTTTACCCCACCCAATTTGTTTTTGTCACAAAACGTCAGAGGTGAAATGACGTTACTCAGGAACCAGTTTTCCACCCACCAAATTCTTCTGCTTTGAAACAGTTTTAAAAAGGTTTTAATTGACATTTTGCGCCCAGTTTCCTAGCGCTTATCTTAGCACCTGGGATCAGTTGATTGGGTGTCCTGCACAGGGGTTCAAAGGTACAACTTGATTCAACAAATCATCCGCCGGCGTCCCTGCGATCGATGTCCATGAGCAATCCGGGCTCCCACGTGAGCGCTATGGCGCCTACGTCCATTTTAAAAAGGGACAGTGGGGGCTACCATGTATTGTAAACGGTGGTTGCCGAGAGAGCCCTGGAACACCCCTGACTCCTGGAGAGGTGTTCTGTCTCACTATTACATTACGGAGGGCGATTTACGTACACTCAAGACTTTCATACAGCACACCCTGGGGCGCCTGGGAGGTAGTGTTGACATACCAGCGCATCAACAACTATGATCCAAGAAATATAGCACCGACATCGTTTACATATAAATAACTTGAAAAAAGGGTAGAGCTTATTTTTGCGCAATCGGTCAAAGATATATGGGCCTAAATATCATCTCAAGGTAGATAGGTTATAAGTGCAGTGTTTATTTCCGTGACAGGTTGTTAGAGCATATAAGCACCTGGCGTATTTCCTTTACAAAATATTGTCTACGATATTGTCTGAGGAAAAACAAAACCACTTCTACGTAGACTATTCCTAGTCCTAGCCCTAGCCTTAACCACTTAATCTAGCCCCTAACCCCTAACACTAAGTAAGATACAATATGTCAAAGGATTATAATATTAATGCCCTTCGCACCAATAAGAACAAACAAAAAAACAAAATGATGACTGGTGTCGTACCAGAAACCTATAAAAGACAGCTGCCACTAAATAGATAGAGCAAGGCAGCGTTTGAAGCATTTTGTAAAAAATAAGAGTATTCTTAATAAAACCAACCTTTCTTTAAAATTCTAAAAATATACACTTCCTTAAAAAAAACTCTTAAAAAATATGTATGCTTGTAAATGGAAGCTAAATTTAGAGAAAGGTTGTGAGAGGATATAAACACGATGCGTATTACCTCTATCGTTGGCGGATATAAGCACTTCCGAAAACAAGTTTACACTGATAAAAATAGTGATTAGTAACACGTTAAGCAACCCCTCCTGTAGAGTTTTTCAAATGACGCAATATGCATCTTTTACATGATCAAATCAGAAGATCATAGTGAGATCACACGTCTAAAAGTACATGATTGGCGTTGACAAAACCCTTATAAAATAGCTATGTTGTATTTGATTAAACACTCAAAATTGATTACCAATTGATTTTGCAACTGATGGGTCTAGACAGAGGCGTAGCGAACCTTCCCGGCACCCGGGGACAAACTTTCGATTTGCACCCCCACCCTCTCTCGAACTTTTCATTTACACACCCCCCCCCCCCCCCCGCTCAAACTTTCGATTTGCACCCCCCCCTCAAACTTTTCAATTGCACCCCCCCCCCCCTCAAACTTTCAATTTGGCGCCCACCCCCCTAAAGTCGGCGCCCGGGGACATATGTCCCCCACCGCCCCCCCCCCCTCGCTACGCCTCTGGGTCTAGATTTGGTAAATTGCCTTCAACACTGCGAAATAGCATCAAAATTACAGTTTTAAACATTACATTTTTATAATTTAAAAGTTTGGTGTAATTTCGTAATTAACTTGTCCCTACTTCCTTCATCAACTATTAAATATCGTCTCCAGAGTTGCTTTCACCCACAACCCACATTACAAACGATGCCTAGGAAACCGACATATGTTAGCTATAATGCTTTGTCTTAACTTTCTTTGTGTTTCTTCTATTTGATTAGCTAGTGTCTTATGTTTGAGACGACGGTACCTTGTCTTTTGTCTGACTTTCCAAATATTTGTATTTAAAAAAAGCTCCCGCCCCACAAGTCAACTGTACTGCTGATAGCTTTGTGGTGTCTTTCGTGTACAGCACCAACTCCGTGGAGTGGCTGCCTATCAGAGGGCTGACGGGATGTCCAAATGCACGTGCAATTACCGTAAATAATAATGTCAATGTGACCATACCGCTCTATGAGTGTGGCACCACTCTCACGGTAAGTATTTAGCATATAGAATAAACCGGGAGTGATCTCCCCTAAACTTTCTCGAATATTCTAATATAAAATAACAAGGGATGGGAACTCGGGCTATAGACATGATTTTTAATCCATTTTAAATACTTAAAGTTTTAAAAATAGAATAAAATCTCGTAGACAAAAGAATTTCACACCAAGTGAACGCTAAATAAAAAAGTGCATAATAGTGCGCAATATTATTAGTACTTTAAAAATTTACATTAGTTTTTTTGAGAAAATCGGAAGTAGCGTAAATTACTACTTCCGGTCAACGGAAATGGACTCAAAATTTAACAGAAGGTAGAGAATTAGATCTTTTACTTACATGTGAAATTTCGTTTATCTATCTGAAATAGTACTCAAGTTATAGGCTTTTGAAAATTTCAAAGTAGGAAAAGTACCACTTCCGGTTATCGTAAATCGCTCAAAAGTTGATACGGATCTACGATTTTGATAAAATACTTATATATGAAATTTCATCAACCTAGCTGTAACGGTACTCAAGTTATCGTGTTTACACACACACACACACACAGACACACAGACACACAGACATACGGACAAGATTGCAAAATTATGTTTTTCCGTATCAGTGAGATGTAAAACGTCGAGATTTGTAAAAAATCTCGATTTTTTTTTTTGCACAATTACAAGACTTTCTCTATACTTCGTATATACGAGAAAGTAAAAATAGTAGAAAAGTTCTCATTTCGAATCTGACCGGTCTATAGCGCAAGTGAAGTAGAGTTCCCATGTTTGTGTGACTTCGGTGTATGTAGGGATGGTGTGGTTTTAGCAATATGCCTAGCTGCCTTTTTTACCCTCTAGCTACTTGATTATAGTGAGTCACAGTTTTTAAGTGAATAGTTTACAACCAATAGTTGTTATTTGATTTTTGACGGTATAAAACGGTGTGTTCTTTTATTACCTACCAGTCTAACGGAACCCACAACATTTACCAAAACTACCTGAACTACGAGAGGTTAACTGGTAGAGACGAACTGACCAACGCTGAAAGATTCAGGTAATGGAGGTGGATGAGGATAGAGTTTCTTTCAGGCATCTCTAGGCGGAGCCTCTCCCCCCCCCCCCCCCCCCCCCCACTTCACACCGAAGAACGTCTACCGCCCCCGCCCCCGTTCGAAATGGAATTTATATAGAAAAATATATACTTTTAGCAGTGCACCCACCCCCCTCGAAAATTTCAGTGTCCCCCATGGAGCAAAAATTCTGGAATAAACGCTGGATGAGGATATTGTTTAAAATTGCTATCTCGAGTGTTAGGGTGGTATGAATACGTTTCATACAACTGCCATTGATTTTGCTTATTTATTTTTATTTGCAAACACTCTGCTATTTAGTATGGTTTTAATTGTTTGCGCATTCAATAACGTACTTCATATTAGGTGGTATAGAATAATCTTACGAGAATTAAATTAAATAGACCCTCTGCTATTTCGCGCATTAGATTAAAAATAAAAACGTAACGTTTGTTTCTAATAAAGTTCAACAACTGATTTTCTATAATGAAATAATAATAATAATAATATATGCAAAAATATGTTAGTTACAAATTTTGTTTGTATGCGGGCGGTTTGAGAGGACTTGGCTGATTCGGTTAAATGTTATTTAAGTGTCGTGGCGGTGGACTGTGGATATATATATAAAGCGTAATATATCTAGATGCAAAGAAAAATCCATATTTTTGTGTTTTAATCAGATTAAGATAGAATGGGTAAAGAACGAAATAACATAAATGAGGAATGGTACCAATTACTTCCACGTATAAGAGTCTTGATAAATGAGATTTTTAAACACGAGCCGGTTTTGCAAGAGATTTTCCGCTTTGAAAAAATACGAGAAAAGTTTAGGCTACGAGGAACTTGATCCGCAGGTTGTACAGTTAATAGAAAAGCAACACCAAGGAA